GAAGATGATTAGGATGGTTAGGCCAATAGGTACTGCCAAGTAGATGGAGCAACCCTTGTGTGAAAGATGATAATTATGGTGAAGCCTATAGATGGCGCAACTCATTTCCCTATCCTTTCCAGTCCTTCTTGTATCTAACATGTTCCTTTTTGTTCATCTCCTGTTGCTTAATCCTGTTCACTTCTCCTTTCCCTTCCCTTCCCCTTGATTTGCACTGTTTGTTCTGCGCCTCGGGTCGCTATGAGCCATGGGATCCAATGTCTTTTTTCCCGCCCAGACCTTCGGAAGTGGCCTATTTTGAGTAGTTTTGGGGATGGTGCCTGCCAGTCCAGTCTTATTGCAAAAGTCAGCAAACTAATACCTTGTCCTTTTCTTCCTTTCCTCTCCTTTCCTTACAGTAAGTCACTCTCCAAAAGAACAGTGTTGCCACTTGCGCCATCTATGGTGCTTTCATGGGTTTCCTCTTGCCAATTTTCTTTGCAACACCGCTCTCACAAAAAAAAATATCCTTTCACAGAAAGCACTCAAAACACATCATTGGAAAGGTTACTTGCGCCATCTAATGTCTGCTTGCTGCTTTCAGGGCCAAACATTTTATAGCGGGCTTTCACGAAACGGATTGTAAAAGTAGATGGCGCCAAACCCATCCCCGACTAGTAGTTTCCCATTCATTGTCACGGCTCTTCGCCTAACATGGCTTGCGCCATCTGCATCTGGGTTTTTTCGTTCCAAAGGCGTTTTTCACTACACAATAAATGGCTCATTACAAAAACCTGAGCCAAGTTTTCTGACAATAGAGTATATCATTTAACAAGAGCCATACAATATCATACAATACGTCATTACGTGAAACCACACCAAAATGCGTTGAGTTTCTCATACCGTCAGTATCGTGAAAGCAAATTCATTATTGGCATGTGACAGTTGTGAAACCTTGAAACCACCTTGCCTTACTGGCTTTGGATCCCTTTCCTGTGTTCTTCGTGTCCTTTCATGAAATGCCTCACCTACCGCATTGTTTTCTCATGACGAGAGTCCATGGAGGATCACTCGTATTATAATATATATATATATAATAATCAATAAATAAAGCAGCCACGGAAACAAAGTACATCATAGTAAATCCATCTCATGCCAAAGGTGCAAAAACCATCAAACACCAGGGGAATGAAACGACTGTTTCGGAAGTGCTACATATATATATATATATAACATCTTTGTCCCACCTCTCTACGACCGGTCCCATTTTCAGCGTTTCTCGAACGTGCAGGAAGCTTGCCTGGATCTTCCGACCAAAGACAATGCCTTTTGAACAAAGCTTCGGTATCAGGTGACTGCGTGACTGGACGAAATTGCAAATCTGCTATGACAGCATCTGGAAGAACCATGTAAGCAAGTATAGTATGTACACACATGCATTACATTGCATTGCAATGCATTCCTTGCCTTGCCTTACCTTACCTTAGATTACATTGCATACATTACATGCATTATCATGCATTACATACATTACATACTTTGTATATATTGCACTACAGTCACTACATCAACTACACACACTACATACATTACACCCGTTACATACACAGATACCGTAACATAATCTAACACAACATAGCACAACACAAAAAGAACATGACATATATAATGTATAACATAACATAATGTAACATAGCATAAAATAGCACAACATGCATAACATAACATAATATACCAGTTCATACCATAACATACTAGAACATACCATGCCGTACCATACCATACATGCCATACCATACAATACCCTACAATACAATACAATACAATACATAACATAACATCATAACATACATAACACACACACACACCTATACACACATACGCACGTACATTGCATTGCCTTGGCTTGCGTTGCATTACATTACATACATATATACATGACGTAACATAATGTAACACAGCATAACATACATAACGTGACACAACATTAAATTACAATATGTACATACGTAGATACGTACCTACGTGCATACAATTATATACATACCCTTGCATATCATCACATATAAATATAAATACATAACATAGCAGTAGCATAACTGAGTGCCTCAAAATATGTGGATATTATGTTGCATAACATCCACATATTTTGAGGCACTCGGCTGACAAGACTTCTACAAACAAATGTCGGCAAGCTCAAGATAGACTGGAGTTGAAGGCTTCCGCACCAAACTTCAACCTCAAAAAGAAATTACAGTATCACAATATGCGTTTTGAGTTCATTTATTGGGGTGCACATGCTGGTCTGAGTTCAGTCCCAAACAAGCCCAGTGCGCAACGAATCACCTGAAACAATCTCACTCACCAAATCACCAAATCTCCCAGGCTTGCCTCAAAGTCCTGCTTTGGGGCTCGGTCTGATCTACCTAGGAGCAGCATGGCTTGAATCTGGCATCTTGTCCTCAAAACCCGCATCCTTTATCGTTTAGTGGTCCACAGTAGCTTTTAGGCCTGCAGAAAAGGGCTGGAAGACAGCATAAAAATGCTCGTGTGGCATCAATACAGAGAAAGACGCAACTTCAAATGAAAGGCCAAAAAGAAAAAGGCAAGCAAAGACCAATGTTTTATCCAAGCAAGTCCGAGTCCAGTCTGTTCATCCATTCATCCAACCGTCCGAGCTCCAAATAATAACACAAATTAATGTTGAAAGATTTCAAACTGCATTCCAAGCCGGCTTGGAACGCAGTTGGTTTTGCCTGCTATCCAGCCAGAATAGCACCTCTTCTGTCATTGTCGAGGATTTAAACAATCAGAAACTGGACTGAGTCCATGGCAGTAACGTTGAAATGCGCTTTCCGCAAGTCCTCAACCTGACTGGTGAAGCTATGTAGAGTGGAGCTAAGCAGCTAAGGACATCCTGATGCCCGGTGCATGAATAGCTCACCCAGACAAGAAGACAAGACAGGCACATCTTCAATATTAATTTTGACCAATGAGAAGTGTTCAACGCCCGAAATCGAACCATGTCAACCTCACCTGCTGAACAATAACGGTCAGCTGGGATGACGTCTTCTCGTGCAGCTGTTGGCCTTAGTTACACGCACCATCGTCTCTCAAATTCAGGGATATAGGTCTCTAATATATATTATATATATTATATATATATATATGCATATATATATAATTGAAGAAATGAGGCAGCAAATATGTACACATGTTGTTTGCAACTTCCGTTTATACTGAGGTGACGGAGGTGGATACATGGACTGGTAGAGGTAAACCATCTCAAATGCTTTATTTGCCAGTATGAGCAGTCACTCTAGCGACTCTGGTGGCTCCAGCCAGTTGCCTACCCCTTGCTGCGGGGTGGCCACATTAAAATGTCAACATCAACCCATAAAGAGCATCTACATTAAGAGCATCTGCTTTATCAACTGTTGGCATCTACTGACAGGGTAGCGTAAATCTGAACGGGGAGAGACTAGAGTACCGAATGCACACGAAAGGTGTTGCAATGCTACAGCATTACACATGGACTCGTACACTAGGCCATGGCTAGTTTCCGATCTAGGCCGTTCAAGCCCCTCCCTGCCCTCGCGGCTGCCCCGGAGCTTTTCCACTCGCTAAATAGAAGCTGAGTCCTGGCCCTCCGGAAGAGATGGCCCACCATCAATCTTTTCGCTCACATAATTGTAATTGGGCAAGCAGATTGAATGAGCTCCAAGCTATATAATCATTGATATTGTTCGTTTTCGAAGCTGTGATCAATGAACCCTTCTCTTGATAAATTCTTGCACCTCCTCCAAGGCTGCACGCGGAAAAGGAGAGAGCATGAATCGTGCATCTTTCCTTTTTCTTCAAAGAGCCATGGCATTCTGAGACTCGTTGGGCTGCGTGGGACCGCGTGAGAGCAAGACTAGGACTCTCTAGAACTTATTGCTTGCTGAACCATCACTCTCAAAATCCGCTTCCCACAAGACGCAGCAAGACGCAGCTATGTGGAGTGGGGCTCACACAGGAGGTGAGCCCGGCTTTCCCTGCATCCCGTCTTCAAATCAAATCAGCGGGGCAAGCAAAGCGGCAATAATGAGCTAAGCACCCCAAAGCTCTTCACCTGCGCGGGAGAACAAAGGTCTCCAAGTCATGTTTTTCCTCCGAAGGTCAAAAAGCTTTTGCGCTCTGTTGCTGCATCTTGTACATATATGAAAACTTGCTTCATCTTGTTTCCACATGTTCAGAGTTCAGAACAGACCTAGTTCATGTTTAAAGTGATGCTCTGAACTCTTGCAGCCAAGACACGTCAAAGGTGTGATCTCCCTCTGGTAAAGTGTCAGGCGTCAGGTGCACCTTCAAGCTGGACTCATTTATAGTGTGCCAACCAACACTTGTTCAATGTCAAGCAGTTCAAATTGAGCAACGATATGTTAAGTTTCCAAAAAAACAATCCAGGAACCAAATCATTAGTGCGAGCTCTTCTTCAAGGAAGCTTCCCCCGCTTCCTTGAAAAAGCGTGAGCTATCCTGCGTCCATACTAGTAGCTTAAGTAAGGTGCTAGCTGCCTCTTCTACTAGCTACCTCCAGCTAACCTACCTCTACTTCTACTATTGCGGCCTACCACCCCGACCAGGCTTTAGAAACTAAGTTACTGATGACTCCCTGCTGATCCACTAAATCCTCGCCCGCCCCTTGCCTCTGGTGCCTTGCGAAGAGCTTGTGCCAAGAGCTGGCGGTAGGAGCCTGTAGGCAAAGTGAGGATCCAAGGAGGCTGGCTGAGCCCTTGAATTGTTGGGAGGGAAGGAAATTGACGCCTCGCCCTTCTGTAGGCCCTGAAAACACAGCCAGTTCCATTCTAACAACAATGTAAAAACGCAAGCACAATTTCTCTGGACCAAAAAGACTAATTATTAATGTTTGCGTGATTACTCCATCCAGTCATTATCTTTTGGTCTGGGACAAGCAATTGCTGATATCAGAAGGTCAAGGTCAGCAGATCGTGTTTCGGAGTAAGCCCAGCACCTGGGGTGGACTTGTTGCGACCACCCCAAACGATAAAGGTCTTGACCTCGGGGGCAACATCACGTGAATACACACATCTAAAGTCTAAAGAAATATAAAGTAGCTTATATAAGTAGCTACTGGTAGCAGGACGCAGGAAAGCTCACGCCTTGCAATATTCACGTGGTTCCTAGATGTTTGGAGAAACGTCATCCCAGTTGCGCTGCTTGTCAAACAGGTCACTCGTTACGTTGTGAGCTAAAGACGATTCAAATTGAAGATATGATATATATAATTCAAGAATACAGGAAGCTACTAGGAACAAGTGCCTCGCTACTAGGAGCAAGGGCCTTACTAGTAGTAACAATAAGCTATTAGAAACAAGTGCCTTACTACTAGTAACAATACGAATTTAATTACCAACAGTCTGAAAGTGCACAAGCCTTTGATTCCAGCCAGCAACGCAAACAGGAAACGTTCGCCAACATCAGAATACAAAACTGCCTTAAACTCTTGTGTCAAATGAGTTCGGGGCTAAATCAACATTGTCCAAGGCATGCATGGGAAATGTAATTAACTACAATTCTGGCAAGTATGTGCTGTTGATTTCGCTCCATATGACCAGTAGCAAACACCTTCTGACTTTACCCACACTGCAAGCTCCAACGTGCAAGGTCCTACAGTATCTACAGTATTTGCGCATGACACATTTGGCCTCGACTTTAGTGGCGTCTCCTTCCAAGAAGTGATGCAATCCTCTAGGATCCCCACAGGCTTGGGATCACGAGCCATGCTGCCCAGGCGTTCTGCCAAGTACCCAGGGAAGGCTACCTGAGTCGTCACACTGTTAACTGTTAACTTCTATCCCAACACTGCGCCAAAGCCGTGACCTGATCCATTCACTACCAACGCAAACTGGCTAACTTGCTCCATTCCATATTGCTCCCAAAAGTATATTCTCAAAGTGCTGATGCCAGGTAACCACTGGGCTGAAGAAGATCATTGCAGACACCTGCAGGTGATCGCGGTGAAGGCTGGACGGATCAATTCATCGTTTCCAGTATGTTCTTGTTGTCGAAAGTGAATCGTATCGAACCCATGTGGTTTGATCGGCTCCCCACCGGCTGTGGGATCAGCTTCATGAGGGCAGCATACAGGGCCACACCAGCACCCTTGCCGAAGCCACACAAAATCACATTCTTCCAGCCGAGTCCTTGGACAAGAACAAGACCCGGAAAAGCCTACTTCACATGCTTCAAAGTGGGAAGGGTGTGAACTTCGAAAGCGATTTGCTTCTTGTATGTACATAACTATTCTAGGATTTTAAGCTGTTCTTTATTGTTCTTTGATTGAAGGATATGCTTCGACTGTGTAGTGGAAAGAGTCCATGCTCCAAGGCTTTGACCCTTTTGTTTTCCAAGGGACCGCTCTGCTTGAGTTTGGGCTCCAGGGCTTCCACCAGTGAACGGCCCAAAACCTCCACGTCGTGCAACATGTCAAGGTCCTCTCAGAGAGGAACCATCGAACAGCATTTGTATGCATTTGTGTGCATCTGCTTCTCCAATTATCAGGAGGTGGGTGAATTCAACACAAGTTCTTGGGAGACTTGGGCGATACTGCAGCCTGTACTACAAGCTGAGCAAATCTGAGAATGGCTAATGGCACCACGCGCGACTATGTGGGCAAAAATAAGTCAGCTAGGTAGGACTTCAACAGTCGTCTACAAATGATACGACAAAATGTCAGTCTTTGGTCATCGACCAAAGAACTTCAAGGTGTGACAGGTATTGGCGCGCCTCATTCTCAAAGGATTGTCGGTTTCGCATATACCAGGAGCCATCGGTAACTTCGGTAGAGGAGACCTTGTACGAAGCCCAGGCACCGTTTCATGCCCAAGCAAAATTCAAGCGCAGAAAAAGCAGCCGGTATCAAAAAGCCTTGCAAAGAGTGCAAAGCGTTTGCTACATTATGAGTTTCTATTCGACTTGGGCATGTCGCCTGTAGCGTTGACAGGGAAGAAACGGGGGACCTTGCAAGTATGCCTCTGTATGCATTGCTGGCCCTTGAATTTTCACACGAGCAGCAACCAACAGATCATGCGGCTTGTGGTCGAGATAAGGGTAGCAATTAGCAATCCACGTCTTGTGACGGTTTAAAGAATCACAACAAAAACAAACTCACATCTGCAGCCACCAAATGGCTCATATGGTTGCCAAACTTATCGCCACGGACAACGGCAACGCATCCAGGAAAGGGAAAACTATAGTCATATTCACTTGGCGAATATAATTGGAAGGATCCGTTAGTAGCCGATTGAGCTAGGCTTTCCCCTTGATATGTGTTCAAACACTATGGAACTGTAAAACTGCAACCTTTGAGTGGGTCACGTTGTGCTTCTTGAGGGTGGGGAAGTGAGCCGATCTCACCCACATGCCCACAGTGCTGGTTTGCTTCTCTCTCTCTCTCTCTATATATATGTATCTGTATATGTGTGTGTGTCTACATACGACTTCGAAATTTAAAGGTGTGGCATGCTATGTTTGCACACTGCAAATTATTCTCCAACACCTGAGCAAGTCTAGGCTAAGCCTCCAAAGAAAACGTTGGCTATACCACTCGGGAACAAGCTGAGAAGGGGGGATGCGATTATTGGTGGTGAAACCAAAATGTGGTAAAACCGTTTCTACGGATATGATATGGGCAATACAATGTTACACAGAGGTTTTTTTTGTATGTGCAGACTCATTGTTGAACATGTTGAACAAATAAGGACTCCAAACCATTTCTCCTCCTAGAACTATCTGTGAACATACTGGGAACAATGTGACCGCCTCCCTTCGAAAAGCAGCACTAACAATGCCATACCCCCTTCTAACAATAGTTCCTGGCCTCCCAAACAATACCCCTTTGAATGATGAGTGCCCACAATGCCTTCTGTTTTTCCATATTCTCCATGTCAGTCCAAGGGGCTTCAAACTCCAACATGCCTTCGCCAGCAGGATGCTGCGACCAAGAGAGTGACACAAGGCCTGCTCGTCCCAAAACATTGGTGACGTCCTGGCGCACCAACTAAAGTGGAGATTGACTCACATCACATATCTGTTCTGGCATAGGTTTTGATCCAAAACAGTACTTCGCTAGTTTCTGGCAAAGATGCCAGCGTCAAACAAAATTACACCGGCATAGACCCAGATAGCTAAGCAGAATCCCACGACCTGTTGACATGCGACTGGCTGGAACAAGAATGTACGCAGCCTGCGCAGCCAGAATACGGCACCTCCACAGCGCGCACAATCAGCTGACACCAGCACCAGCACCGACACCCTTTCGAAAGCGCGCGCAGCCAGCTCATTCTTATTTGCAGCAAGAGCCCCATAGCTAGCCCTATTTGGGGAATAACAACGTATGGCCCAAGGCCAAGCAGTATCCAGCGCCACTATGTAGCATGTTTGAAGCAACGATCTGCAGAACGATGAGGCCGTATGATCTTGAGCGTATGAGTTTATGCGAGCAAAAGTACGCGCACAAACGGCAAAGCCCGTAGGCTTCACTCGCCCAAGGCCAAGCAGTATCCAGCACGACTTTTGTGTGTGTAGCATGCTGAAACACGCTGAAACCATGGTCGGTTGAGAGCTTGACGTTGCGCATACAACATTATACGTACAAAAGTATGCGCGCAAATTCTATATCCTTGACGTGTAAATACCCCACAGCGCTAATAGACAAAGAACGCTCAAGCGACAACACCGCATGATGTTGCGCGCATAAGTTCATGCGGCCCATGACTGCTGGCACTTCATTGTCAGAAGCCGCGCTTGGTCGCCCTTCACTGCTGCAAGCGGCCTTCACTGTCAGAAGCGGGGTTGTTATCACTTCACTGTCAGAAGCGGGCGCCAGCACTGAGCACCGGCACGACCACCCAGCCCAGCACCCAGCACCCGGGACCCTGTCTCCACCACACGGCGCACAGCCAGGACGCAGCACTGGCACCCAGTCTCCACCACACGCACTGCCAGCTCACAGCACCGGCACCGGCGCCCGCTGTCTCTACCACGCGCACTGCCAGCGCCCAGCACCGGCGCCGTGTCTCCACCACGCGCCCACAGCCCGCACCAGCACCCGGCACCGGCACCCAGCACCGGAACCCTGTTTCCACCACGCGCACAGCCAGCTCAAAGCACGCACAGCCAGCACCAGCACCCGGCACCGGCACCCAGCACCGGCACCCTGCGCGCAGCCAGCTCATTTTCGTTTGAAAAAATAAGAAACACCAGGCGAACAGCCAGCACCCAGCACCGGCGCCCGGCACCGGCACCCGGCGCCCTGTCTCCACCACGCGTGGAGCCAGCACCCAGCACCAGGACCGGCACCCTGTCTCCACCAAGTGCACAGCCAGCTCACAGCACCAGCGCCGGCACCCGGCACCCAGCACCGGCACCCTGTCTCCACCAGCCAGCTCACAGCACCAGCACCGGCACCCGGCACCCAGCACCAGCACCGGCACCCGGCACCAGCACCAGCAACCTGTCTCCACCACATGCGCAGCCAGCTCACAGCACCAGCACCGGCACCCGGCACCCAGCACCAGCAACTGTTTCCACCATGTGCACAGCCAGCTCACAGCACCAGCACCGGCGCCCGACACCCAGCACCAGCACCGGCACCAGCAACCTGTCTCCACCACGTGCACAGCCAGCAGCACCAGCACCGGCACCGGCACCCAGCACCAGCAACCTGTCTCGAAAGCGCGCGCGGGCAACACATTGTTATTTGAAGTAAGAACCCCATAGCTTCGCTATCTGGGGAAAAACTATGTAGATACTCAAAAACCCCCCCTGTAGGTTACAAGAACAAGGATCAAATGACTTCGGTTGGAAACTCTGCAGCAAAGGGTTTCCTACACCTTGTGTTTGGACCTTGTGACCTTGTTCTTCATGTGTCTTTCTTTTGGCATGTTGTTTCATTTTTAAGACCCTGTTCATCCCTTTTCTGTCCTTTTTCTTTAGACTTTTTGCTGATCGAGTGACCCGAGCCGGAAACCCAACATCATTGTCAGAATCTGCTGAGCCATGTCTTGCTGCGGGCGCTTCAGGTGTCTGACGAAGATTGCTGGAAAACAATGAAAAAGAGAATAGTAGCTGTTTCTTTTTGTTCTCTCTTTTAGCACGCGGGGGGGGTAGGCCGCTAGGAGGGAGAGGTAGCTAGTAGCTTAAGTAGCTACTACTTAGGACGCAGGATAGCTCGCGCTAATGATTTGGTTCCTAGATTTTTCGAGAAACTTATATAATCCACCACTGCTTCCGGGAGGGGTCAATTTCTTTTATATCGATGGCTTACCCCCTCTAAAAGAAAACTTTCTTGCACGCCGATGTCCCCGATCGAGAGCTGCGTCGCTTCTTCCATCCGTGGTTTCGTAAAAGACCGACAGTCCATGAACCCGGGGATCAAGTTCAGTCATGAACTAAAGCCAAAGGCAGATGCACTAAAGTGACAATTTTGTTACATGACCAGTGCATTGAGGTGCGCGTGAGATGTTGGACAGGTCGGCCCCTAGTACGTTTGAGGTTCGTTTGAGTATCCAATCAAGGCCGCTGCGCTGGTTTTTGCCTTGAAGACCATGTTGATAGAAACTAGTTGCCTTGAAACTTGACTAAATCCTCCGGATTTTTTTTCGAGGCGGGCTGAAAAATCTCGAGGCGGCAAGGCTCGACTTGAGAAAAAAAACAGCTTGCCTGGACTAAATCCTCCGGATTTAGTCGAGGCAGCTTCTTTTCCATAATCAAAATTGACCATGCAAATCTAGACTTCCTGGCTCCCGACAATTAGATTCTTTGGTAAAACTCCCCGACAATTAAATTCTTTAGTAAAGCCTCCCGACAATTAGATTCTTTAGTAATACCTCCCGACAATTAGATTCCTTAGTGAAGCCCCCCCGACAATTAGATTCAGATGCGTCATCCCAAATCAACCAGAACCGTGAAAAAAAACAAAGAAAAATAACACCGGAAATGAAATTTATAAAGGTTACCCCCCTCCCCCGATTTCTAAATCAAGGGGAGGGGGATCTTATATATATATATATGCTACCCCCTACCAATACACACCTTTTGCATTGAGAATGACAAACCAACCATGAATGATGGTGATGGATAAACAGTTTTTAAATTAAAGGGATTAATAGTGTTTAAAAGGAAATAATCATGTTTAGAAAGAAAATAGATAAATAATTGTTAATGGACAATAAAAGGACATAAATATACGTAAAAAGAAGAAAACACATGTTTTATTTGTTGAAAAGAAATCAAAAGGGCTCGAGAACACCGCGAGGATAGCTTAGAGCCCCAAGGTCGAAAGACCGACTTTTATTTATCGTTGCGTTAGCGCCATAGCTGGAGACTGGAGCCCAGGGTGGCACAGACGCTTGAGGAAGAGAAGATCGAGAGCCCGACAGCTGCTCCAGCGACACTCTCAATCCCTGCTTCTGAGAAGCCGGGCGCTGAAGAGGGTCCTTGCTGCTCGTAAGCTGCTGCAGTGTCACCGCGGTGGACAGGTTGTAAGGATTGCTGCTTTGTCAGAACGACCTTCAACGACAACCAGCTGTGTGATGGCATGGAAGGCTCAAAGATGGAATCAGAGGGCCGAGTCCTGGAAGGACTCATGGCCCCAAGAAGAGGCACCACGCAGGTCCAGGAAGGACAAAGGGCAAGCCAAGCAGAAAGACCAGAAGCATGGCAGTCAGCCAGTGATGTACGGTCACGACGGCAAGCCCATAGAGATAGACGTTGGTGGTACTACCTCCTCATCGTCTTCAGTCAGCTCATCGTCGCTAGAGCAGGAGAATCGCACCCTCAGGGAGGCTTTGCGCACCTTGGTTGCAGAGGCGAAGAACCCCGAGAGCATTCCTGCTGGTGTCAGAGAGCTTACAGTGGTGGATCCACGAGAAGACCTTCGAATGAGACAACGAGAGCTAAACAAAGAGAAGAAAGCTCTCACGAAGGTCGAGAAGATTCGTTCGGACATCGAGAAGAACGAGTCGAGCTATTCGAGGTGGAAGCAAGGGATTCACTCTGGACTGGAGAAAGCCGAAAAGCGTCATACGGATCTGCTTCACCAACTCCAAACGGATTTGAAGTTGATCGAGGCCAAGGGCGACAACCAGATGGAGGATGGGTCCGAGGAAGAAGAGGAATCCAAAAGTTCAAAGGCGCTGGTTCGGGAGGTAGACGAGATGAAGGCCCATATGGGTCAAATGGCTACCTATGTCCAGCGCATGGAACAGAGGAATTGGGAGTTGGCACAAAAATGTAGTTTTTGATCTCAGCGGTCAAGGACTCCAGACCTTTCGAACCGTTGAACAAGGACTCGCCGCAGATTGTGAGGACTCCGCCAGGGCGATTTCTTTTTGCTGGAGACAAGAAAGAAGACAGCAAAGATCGATCCAGGTCGCCGATGAAGAGAGCGGCATCAGAGAGTGTGGAAGAGAAGGAAGATGTGAGCGAGGTGCCTTTTGTAGTGCAGGAATTGCTGGACCAGTTGCCGAGCGAACAACACAGCCAGGTTTTGGCTATTGTCCATGCGGAACCTCAGCGCTACAATTCACAACAGGCCTTTGTGGACCTTGTAGCATCGATTCAGGCTCAGATAGCGGCCAGCATTCAAGTGACAGGTGCCTTCGAAGCAGAGGATGGAGCTCGTGCCTCCAGTGCTGCATTGCAGCCTTTTCGCAAACAGCCCAAAGGACACACTGCCAAGTGCCAATGCAATACCCGCTCAGAGAACATGAGGTTTTGCTCACTCCCAGACAGAGGGAGATTCATGAAGAAAGCAGGTCTGAGCAAAATGATCTTGGGTCATTGATGCAGACAAGATTGGGTTCGGCAAGTGCATATATGGAAGGTGCTGATGAGACAAGCGGCCAAGTGATGGACCTTTTTTCGCCTGCGGAATTGAGAGTTGTTGAACCTGTAACACCACCACTGCCTGAG